CCGGTGGTAAATAATTCAATTAACAATTTTGTCCAAACAAACTTCTTCTCGTTTTTAATTTAAATTAAACTTCTTATACGACGAATAGAAAATATTATTTTGCTGATTAAGCTTCTTTTTTGTGACCATTTACATTCCTTATTCAATGAATCTCTGATTCTTTTTCTCCTGCTGTTGAACGAATGAACAAATTTTTTATAAAGAATTTAGTAATAGAAACCACTAAAAGAATAAATTTATCAAATAAAAAACGATGTTGGTTAAACAAAATATATGAAACTTGATATTTTTTTTCTAGTAATACATATGATATCTGCAAAAATTCAATTGTTTATAAATAAAGCAAGAGGATCAATAAGTATATACATCATAGAACGAAAATATCTATTTCAAAATTATATTCAATTAATTGCATTTCTTAACTTTTTGTATTCGAGCGATACGAATTTGCGTCCTAGGATTTGAAACTATGAAAAGACCAAATAAAAGAAGCATTCTGCAAATATTGTGCATAGTACATTTCATCATAAACTTTGGAATGAACATTATTTTTGAATTTTTAGAATTTACATTTTCTTTTGGTTTGGAAAATAATCTCCAGCTCAAATGGTTAATGTAATGGTATTTACACTAAATTATTACATAGTTACTTTATATGAATATATCAATGAGTTCTAGTTTATTTATTTATACGTCTTATTGTCTTTTATAATTCTAGCATCATTGATCTGTTTCGTTAGTTACATCATAACTATTTTCTGATGAGTTTGATGTTCAACTTATTTTGAACAACTTTAGTATATAAATATTCTGATACACCTTATATTTCAAACAGTGAATATTTTAAATGTATTTTTGATAATATGAAAAGAACATTATTTTGTTTATTTTATATGCCAGAAAGACGATGATAAGTTATAGAGAGATATTATAGCAGCAACAGATAAAATCCGTTTCTTTCTATTAAGGTTTTTGATCTCTGATTATGATATTCTATGACATGATGTCATCATTTTATTTTTTGTTTGTATTCCCGTTTCATTATTCCTAATAGATGTCTTATATTCGAAAAAAAACTTATGTTTAATAGTTATTGTCATTTAACACATTCAACACAATGTGAGCCACCGGTGGCTCACGATATATTTTACCAAGAAAAATGATAAAACAACTGTTTTTTCTCTTTTCTTTCCTAAGCAAAGAGCGACGGTTAGTTCTTCACTTATTCCGTCTTCGCAAATGCTTCAAACATTTTATTATGCAGAGGAATGCTTTTCGTTGAAACAATCAAAATAAAAGAATTGGTCGCAATCAGAATAGAAAGTTTTTATTCTCTTTGCTGCCATCGTACTTGCTTCTCTTGATTCTTGTTTTTTGATTTTCTCATAGCAACCAGCACAATGTCTTCAGAGATTCCGTGTAGGTCCTTCTATTTCTTCTAGCTTGTGATCAGCGAGTTTACCCTTCGAATGTCATAAAGTGGTACCGAAAGATGGCATTTGAATTGGTTTTTGGGATGGCAATAGTAAATAGCTATTTCATTTATAACGAAAACTATGGCACAAGCGAAGTGACCCTTTTGAAGTTTCACGAAAGTCTTGTGCGGTCTTTACTCCTTGGTGCATCATTTGGAAACCTCAGATCTGGTCCCAGAAAGCAGTCAACAAGGCATTCGAAGCGTAAACTCGCTGATCACAAGCTAGAAGAAATAGAAGGGCCTACACGGAAGGTCCGAAGATGTTGTATCGGTTGCTATGAGAAAATCAGGAAACAAGAATCAAGAGAAGCAAGTGCAACGGCAGCAAAGAGAATAACAACTTTCTATTCTGATTACAACAAATTTTTTTGTCTTGATTGTTTCAACTAAAAGCATTCCTCTGCATAATAAAATGATTGAAGCATTCACGAAGATGGAACAAGTAAGGGACTAACCATCGCTCTTTGCTTAGGAAAGAAAAGAGAAAAAAACGGCTCTTTTATCATTTTCCTTGTTAGAATATACCGTGAGCTACCGGTGGCTCATATTGTGTTGAACGTGTTAATTTAAATGTAAAAGTACAGATTACACAGAATGCAACATCATCAAAACATTTATGATGAACTTTTCTTTTAACTTTATATGACAAACACCACTGTCTATTTTGTTCGATATTAATACTATTATCGGAATTTTAAAAGAAGAGCATTGGCCAAAATGCTTATAACTCTTTAACGATGACAGCTAGAGACCTGTGATCTTCATCATTAACCTTCTTTCGAATGATGAAGATCACAGGTCTCTAGCTGTCATTGTTAAAAAGTTATAAACACTTTGCCCAATGCTCTTCTTTTAAAATTCTAATAATAGACTATTGACAAAAAAAAATGTAAGCGATGAGTATTACAGTAATTGTTAAAGTAACAGTTACAGAAAGAACTTTGATCAATTTTAGATGAACGACTGCATAACTTATACCATTCAATCAAAAGATTCGAGCCTTTCCAAGCTAAAATTTGAAAGTAGACTAACAAATAATATTCTATCTTATTTCATTTATTGAAGGTTAATCTAATCGACGTAAGAATTCAGATTCAACATATTGACAGACTTAAATATCTGAAAAATGAAACTAATACGTCAATGAATACATTGTATGTGATTATCGTTTTTTTAAGAAGAAAAGTGAAATTCAAATAGATTAAAATAAATCTCCTATCGGTATTTGTAGTTGTTGATCATGATATTGACTATGTAATATGATGTTTGTGGTGTGCCGATACAGGTGCTAGTTGAAAAGATATTTGCATAACACTTGACAAAATTATTTGTTTACCTGATCAACCTCATAAAAAATGATTTATAATAAAATTTACTTTTATGATTATTAGAAGAGTTTTATATAGATTTATCGAAAGACAAAAAGGAATGACTAGTTATTTAGATGTTGCTACCTCAAAAATGGGAAATGAACGATCGGATAATAATGTATTCAGAGAAAGTACTGATAGTACTTCAGTTGATGCTAGTGTAATACAACCGATATATGATACACTTATCATCTCCATTACAATATCGGCGTTATCAAGATTTTTATATCGGTTTAAACATTGCATATCATCATAGTGGAGCTTTATCTACTATTCTTCAATAGATAATTTATAATTGTACAATAAATTGTTCAGTAGAAACTCAAATCAATGAAAAATTATTAACAGCATCAAATGAATTATATATTCCAGCACGAACATTATATTATGAAATTTATCAATTAAAATTAACAGTCACTATAGTTAGATTATCTCGTTTAGACAATTCATCATATGCTTATGTGAAAATAATTCGATCAAATATCACAGCAACTCTCGTTAAATTAGGAACATCATTGATTACATACGGGTATGAACAAAGTCTTTTACTTAACCCAAAAAATGTCTTTCTTTTCTTATCTATAACTGTGGTATTTAGAGCATATAGTATCTCAATTTTTTTTGATGCGAAATGTTTAAAGTAAATTTGAAAAAAAAACATCATATTAGTCTATTTGTACAACAAAAAAAATTTCAAAATTATATTTGTTTTTGTAACTTTTGTTTCCTTGTGATCAAATGCGCTTCATGTTGATTCTTGATTTACGTGGTTTAATTGTTCTTGTTGTTGCTAATATGGATGTACCAAGACCGAGACTGAACCGAGACTCTCGCTCCGGGTTGTCTCGGTCTCGGTAAGTCTTAGTCAAAAAACTGAAAAGATAAAAGTTTCGACCAAGACTATATACAATGCTTACCTGCGATAAAGAACTACATCGAGATTAATTATAGTCGAGACCAGTATTCATTAATACCAGGGCAGAGAATAACTGAGATCGACACTCTTGGGCGAGAGTCTCGATCTCCGTAGGTCTCGGTCGAGAAGACTGAGACTGAAAGAGATCGAGAGGCTCAGTCTCGGCATTTCACTAGTTGCTATTTGTGATTGCTGGTAGGTAAAACACCAAGACAACATTAAATAATAAAATGAAGCATCACTAATGAATAGGTGAATAAGATCAACAACCAGAAAATTACCGTAATGATATAAATCAATAATTGTTAAAAAAAATGAAGTGGCAGTGATTGCCAACCATAAAAGTTTAACAACTTTTATATTGAAAATCTTGTACAGTGCTTGTATAATTCGTATTCCATCATAAGCAAGAAACACGGCAATTATTGCTTCTAAAGTTCGAATCTATTTTATCAATCAATTTTCTTGATCATCGAGTGTTACTGCAAAACATCACGCAACATATGTAACAGAAAGAAGTAACATATACAAACAAAAAAATATTACTTCTTGAAGGACATTAACACAAGATTTAATTGGCATCTGAAATATAAAAGAAAAATATATTGATTAAGAGTTGTGTGTACATGATGTGAAGACAAAGAGCAATTAATACGATAGAATGGGTTAGAACAAATTATCGTCCTTATTAATGTCTTTTCTTTACATATACTGTGTAAGATTCAAAACTAAATATAGGTGAGGGTCACTTTTTATGAAATGGCAATTCGACTTCTGATCTGTCACAAGTCTATCAATCGATTCGTTTTATGAGGACTGGGTTCAGTAAGGGAGACCCCCCTCCCCCCGAAACCTATCTTCTAAACGGTTCGAGAGATTTCGATGAAAATTTCAGGAAATGGAAAAGCTAATGTAACTAGCATCTGATAAAAACTTGAACCAATCATTTTTGATAATTGAGAAGTTATACTCGATCTACTCATAAAAATGAGGCTTTTGGCACGGAGCATTTTTCCGAGGCATGGTAGCATGGAATATGTTGAAATTTGTTTCAAAATGAAGAAATCTTTTATCCAGAAATTGTTGAAACAGTTTTTTGAAATTCATCTTTGTTCAATAGTAGGGATCATTTCAAACCGAAAATCGAAAAAATTGCTTTGATCTCTTTCAAAGATTTTCAAATATCTGAACAACGGAGATATATTTTAGAAATCTGCTCCAAATATTTCTAGAGAAAAGCCTCATCTTTTGAATAAAAAAAAATATCAGCAGCGTACGTCAAACAGTGGACTGGGAAAATGTTCCGCAGTGATCAGCAAACGTTAAAAAAGTGAAGCTGAGAAAAATGAATAACAACATTGCGCAGTAGTTGATGATGTTCCTGTATAGGAAATTAGAGAATGTTATATATCATTGAAATGTGTGTAAAAAGTTCTTGCAGTTGATGATGTTTTCAGGAAAAAATTACGCTAATTTGTAAATCCAATTTTACTATGGCGCCACCTTTTCGAAAAATAACCCAATTTTGAAGCTTCTTCCTCTGATTGCAACAGTCAGAACATAATTACTTGATACGTCGATGGTTTTATACTGCTGACAAAGACGATGGAACAATATTAATTACCGGTAACTAAGGAAAAGAGATCAACGCAACAGTCAATTTTCCACTATGACTTCCAATAGATGCCCCAGAATTTGGCCAAATATCTTCCATTCTTATATAATTTATACATATTCTGAAACAGAACACTCAGGGCTACTAGAATATGTGTTTTTTTCAAAAATCGAGTTTTTTAAGAAAAATCGACTTTCGGGGGGGGGGGGGGGGGGGGGGTTCTCCCTTACCCAGGTCAATCACGCCCGATCGGATCCTGTCGGTTCCAAATAATTCCGACTGAAACCTATCTCAATTTTGTCGGAATTCTTACTAACGGATTCCGACGTCGGGTCTGACATCGGATTTGCATAAAATCCGATCGAATCCTGTCTGTTTTTGTCGGATTTTACCGGATTCCGGTCGGGATATCGTCGGAATCCGTTAGTTAGGATTGATTGACCTGGGTAATCAATTCTGTTCATATGAGTTGGTTTATTGAAGACTTGATTTTC